TCATGTTGACGATCGAGCTCATACCATGTCAACCCCTCTCTTGCCGGACTCCCTCGACGTCCCTACTTATTGCCGTCAGATTCATTTACTCATGGGAAGCTACTCCTTATAACGGCGTTCGCGAAATTGCACACTGTGCTTGATATCTTACAAGAATAGCACCACATCATGAGCCGTTTGTACACGGTATCTATAATACATTTTTTCACTATTTCTTCATGGCATCAAACTCCTTCTGGAACTCTGCCAACGCATCGAGGGTCTCCGAAAAATGCTTGAACCCCACCCTCTCCCCACGGCCGACCGCGAGCGAGTGTGCCGTGCGTGCTGCATTCTTAATCTGCCGGCCATTGACCTCGCGCGCCGCGAGCTGCTTGATCTCTTCACGCGTGACGTCGCCTGTCGCCCCGAGCTTCGCGATGAACGCCGTCCAAACTTGTTCCTTCGACTCCTGCGAGAGCTCGTGGAAGTGCAGGGCGACGTGGATGCGGGAAAGAAAGGCTTCGTCAAAAGCTTGCACGCGATTGGTCGTCAGGAAGAGGATGCCGCGGTAGTACTCGACGTGGCGAAGGCTGTAGGTGCGCGGGTGGTCGGTTTACGGAAAGTCTAAATAAAGGATATAGGCCCTTACAAGATGGCAACCATGGCATTCCGCTCAAGGTCGTGCAATGAACGTTGTTCTAGGAAGACGTCGGCCTGGGTATGTAGATATCAGGTACGGGACAAAAATACAACAATGGAATGTAAACACACCTCGTCAATGAGGATGATTGCCTTCCAAGCGGTAGCAACATCGAAGATGCCTTCAAGGGCCTTATCCAATTCCGCAGCGCTTGTGCCAAGATCACCACCGCCGATCAGGTACAGCGGTCTGCGCACATGCTCGCTCGTCGCCTCGGCGGAGAATGTTTTACCTGTGGTTATTCTCGTTGAGCCACGCTGCATGATTCAACTGTAAAAAGAACGCATGCGCTCACCGACACCTGGAGGTCCGAAAAGTTGATGACGAGCCCATGGCCCTTGCCTTTGATGAAGTCGTCAAACCCGATTTCCCGATGATGTGCCTCAACGAGGGATTGTAGGAGATGTTTGCGATCTGTTGGGAGGACGAGGTTAGCGAAGGCATCTTGGTTCCAGTCAACATCTTCGATCTTCTCAACATCGAACTCGACTTTGGAAAATGAATGATTAGCTATGCAATAAGGTGATAGACGTGAAAGGCTCGTTTAACTCACGCCATAGCTTATCAGACAGACTGAACCCAAACACGACGGTGGATGTCAGAATCAGATCCTCATCGGTAAGCTCGAGATTCTCGGTATCTTCGTCCTGTGTATAACTTTGCACCAAAGTACCTGAAACGCTGTTCAAGAGACTAACGCGATGCCGGTGCGAGTAAAAGATTTACCATTAGCGTATGCACCAGGAGTAGCGGGCAATTCGTTAGTATTCGTCTGCTGATTAAATGGGTCATCATATTGCCCCATCCGAAGGGCCTGCTCCGCTTGGTCGAGCTGCGCCTTGGAGGGTACCGGTGTGGGGAGAATGTGATTGGGGTTCAAGCGGCGGAAGGTAGCTTTTAAAATGACATGTTAAAAAAACCAGTGAAGAAATAGTTGCAGATGCGATATTCATACCTCTGTCGATCATGACGCGCCCTTTAATCTAGAAATCAAATTAGTCTTTGAAGAATATGGGTTGAGAGAGATGGTCGTACGTTGTGTTTTCCCAGCTTCCCTGCGAGTTTGCTGACCGCAATTCCGTTGTACTGTTTGTGATGAACCCCAACTAAACCGACCCATTTCCTTCCGCGTTCAAGTAGTGTCTCCCGCAGCTGCGCCTCGTTGGGATGGTATTCGAGCGGGTAAGCATCCAGATTCTGGATCCGCATTGTCCCTTTAAACTCCTTGAGAAGGATGATGGTTTGCACCCTCCCGACACCGACTGTCCCGTTCGACATCCTGTCCACTAGGTCGACACTCTCAAAGGTCAGATTGTAGCAGGATTTCCCCTCAATCGCTGTGCGTTGGGATGCGATGAGCTTGAAGATACGTGGACGCCCGGTGATAGCGCATGTGGTGACGAACAGCGTGCGCGGGACAAGTAATACAAAGAGATAGTCATAGCTTATTTCGCCATGCGACTTGAGGCGCTCGATCTTGGCGAGCGTAGCACGGTAGTCAGAACCGAGCGAAGAGAGCAGGAGGTCGACAGTCGACACGATGTGAGGGTCAGCTTCGGACTTGTCCTTCTGCTTCTTGGACATGATTTCGTCGCGGTATTTCTTGAACAAAGGGAGAAAGGTGATGAACATATCAGGCTCGAGTTGTATAGAGTGTTCAGAGCAAGTGCGAATTCTCAAAGATCGAGAAGCCAAACCTCAAGAGGATCAGAGTTCCAGGAAACCCCAGGCCAACTTTGTATTACGTCCTTGCATGCCTTCAAGAGATATTCACTCTTCACGATAATCCTGACAGTGGGCTCTTGATTCTCTTGCTGTGAAAACTTGCGAATGATGTTAGAAGGAGCGTTAGGGTGTATCAAGCAATGTAAGGGAATTGATCATCTTACACGAAGTTGCAGTCCTTCCACGCGTCACTAGTACCCGTTTGAAGGATTGGAAGAATCTCGACAGCTATCCTTGAGCTCATATTCTATATAAGTGGTCATCATGAAATTCGGTGAGTAGAAGCTCATCAGCATACACGATATTTCCAGCTTCTGGACCAGCGGCTATAGTAGTGGTCCAATCGTTTCACCTTGAGAGAGGGCACAGGCAAGGGTTCATCGCGAACGATGGTCGATACTTTGGATTCATTATCGAGACCATTGTCCAGCTCTTCAGAGGAAGACGCGAGAGGTGAAGATTGTTTTACGAGAGAAGAGAAACGACGATGCATCGACGGTAGATAGTGTGGGTTTTGGCTTTTCTCTTCAATTTCGAGGTCTTAAATATACATGATAGGAGACTGGCAGGGGCATTAGGTTGTTAAAATATGATCAGGGGTTAATTAGATTTAGAACTACCAATACATACGTACTTGCCATAGGCTGTGTACATCTTTCCGAAATTCGTAGTTCCCTGATGCAATCAAGCCTAAGAAAGACATATCTTCGCTCTTTTGGAGTCATAACATAGCACTGCTGTGCAAAGAAGCTCGACGGTCCCGTCAGACGCAGAGTGAGAAATGGCAGAAGTTGTCGGTGTCAGTCACTTGGCAGACTCACTGCCTCGGCGGTCGACACGATCACGTGGTTCTGCGAGTAGGACGTTTGCAAATCCCACTGCCAGGGTCCAACGCGACAAACATGGGAGGTAACACACACATCCTTTTTTCCTATTCAGTAATATTCACTGAGTGGAAATTCTCCTGGGATTCACATTTGGTTCACATACCGTTACGGTATGGTACATCGATATCGTAACGTAAATGAGATGATTTCATAGCACAAACTCCATAGCTGCTGCGAGAGATTGCCAGACCACCATTGAAGATCCCTTGCTAAGTGATAATGATTTTCTCCAAAACCTACACAAAGATATATCACGAAATAAGGTGCAAGCACTAATTAAATGCAGCATAGTGGCATAGAGCAAAACGACAAGCCCAGCACAACAAAAAATTCCATCAAGATCCACAAAAATAATCCCGGAGGAAACGCATACTCAATATAAAAAACAACTCCGCTCAGTTATCATTTCCTCGTACCAGCCCAAACCATTCAGGCAGCGCTACCCACACTTCTTCGCGGGCTTTCATCGCACAGGTAGCGAAATCCAACTTGCACGGATGACACATATTCAGTCCACATTGCCGCCGACCGTCCGAAAAGTCCGTCCTCGAGAGCATTTCCATCGCCTGGGTCAATGTGAATAAAGTATCCGCGTCACGCCCACACGCGATTCCCCCAACGGAGCGCAGCACGTTGAGCATGATGAAGTAGAAGGATTCACGGCAGGGTAGGCTTGGGTCGACTTCAAACTGGTAGAGGCACCCGGGGGATGGCGCACGAGATTGGAGTGAAGTCGCGATGAAGTTTGCCATGAAGCGTTGGACCAGCTCGCGACCTCTGAGGGTCTGCTGGAGTTGGTCACGTGGGAGAAGGATGGTGCGCGGTTCGGTCGTGGCGGTGGACGGGGATTGGGACGCGAGGTAGCGATCAAGCGCAGAGCGAGGGTAGATTGCGCCGGCCATAATTTTGCTGGGGCCATAGCGTGAAAGATCATAGAACGCAGCAGGGAGGAGGAAGGGGAGGTCCAGATCAATTGCTAACTGGATAACTAGGATAGGGTGTGTGCAGGACTCCCGGGGCATATAGCGGCCATGCAGGTCTGTGGCTTGCTGCTCGCGTAGGTCCCAGCCGACAAGTGTTGATGGCCAGTCAAGCGAGAGGCGGGAGATACAGCGTTGCCGAAGGTGCTCGACCAAGTACTTTGTGGAAAGACGGAGCACTCCGGCGATGACCATGAAGTCGATCGCTCGAGGGGTTTTGAAGTATCTAGAATTTTATTCTGTCAGCCGCCGCCACAAGGCCTAAAAAAGACAGAACGTACAGTCCATCGTAGAGAGCGCTCAAGAAGTAGTAAACATCCGAAGGACTGTCGTGAAGCTCGACGTAAAGGCACCCGTCGAACAACTCAAGTTCTGGTGGTTGTGGGATCGAGAAGAGTCCGTTGAAAACATCAGAGTGGCGTTCGAGCTGTCCGCGATGGACCTTGAATGCCGAATCCCCCGCAATGATGATGATGTTGCCGTCCAGAAACCAAAAGTCAGAGCGGATGAGGTGGGCGAACGCAGACGGAGAGCCGGAGACATGAACCCTCGCGACTTCCATAGTAACAGGAGACGGAAAGGAGGCGAGGGAGAGGGTCAGCCGAATGAATAGGATCAAGATAAAGCATAATAAACGAAGAGAGGCTGACAGAAGGATTGATATTCACTGATGGATACAATTCGAAGATGGCTGGTTCGAGTCAGCCCCAGGGTGAGGCGCAAAAATGCCGCGTACCCGGATTGAACGAGTGACCTTCTCATCGCTCCTTCCAGACATGCAAGGTTACGAGTGAGACGCGCTACCACTACGCCAACACGGCGTAGAGGACATGTGAATGAAGAATTTTCTGTTGCGGCCTGCCCTGCTTGAAACTTGATCCACAAAGCTATGGCTTAGATTTCCATCCTTTGCATATATTTCAGCGGTTGATTCAAGTGCAAATCGCTGCCTTGAATCTTGTACGGTCACAAAATCCTGTCTTACCTCAAAAAATGAAGGTGGGATCTATGGTTTTGTGACGTGTACCGGCTTCTGAGCGTCAGGTCTAAGGGATGGAAAGAATAACCAGTTCAAATCCCTTGAATCGAACATACTGGGTTTTTCCAGTTTAGTATCATGTATGGGACGTTGAAATTCGGAGGTCGTTGTTGACTCTTCTCAATTAACTAACAAAAGCTGCTTGTGAGTAGAATATATACCAGCATATACTGATAAACAGTTCGTGATACCTTCTATATATATTTAGCACTTGCGAGTGCAAAAAGGGAAAGGCGTAGTTAGGGTGTACGATGCTTGCAGGACGTGAGGGCCTAATCTTGCATGAGGTTGGTGGGCGGTTGGCTCCGAGATAAATGTAGCACAATAGAATTCAATACCTGGATATTTAACTCCTTATAAAAATGAAAATAAGGGAGGAGTGTAGCAGAAAGTGGAATCTGGGATGCAGCTGGAGCTCTGCGATTCAAGATGAGATGATTGCTGCTAGGAAGACAGACCCCGAGTCCCGATGACGCCCACCGACTCCGATTGATCGATCATCAAATGGATGCCGCTGTCTCAGTTGAGCACCAACATCCGCTCTTCCTACTATTCCTTCCCCATGTTCAATATACCCCCCGAACTTTCGTTGGCGATATTATCATATCTACCCTTGAAATGTCTGGCATCTCTACCACTCGTCTGCCGAAGTTGGCAAACCTTTATCACAATCCACACGAATTCCATCTACCACAACGCCGCTCTGTTGCATGGATATGTACGATCCGACGGTTCATCACTGGAGGACGCAAAGAATGTCTACTCTGAAAGATCACTTGGGTTTGTCACTGGATGGAAGGATCTATGTAACCTAGCATTTATTGTGAAAGAGTACCACTCACTGATATATCTATCCCTAGGTCAGAAGCGTCGTTTTGTCGAAAATAGCTGGTCTGCCAAGGCAAGCTCCCGTATTACCGCGCATCGTGGTGCAGGGAGATCTGTTCACCGGATCAAAGTCGATGAGAATGCCGGATATATCCTAACCACGTCGTATGTTGGTGGACTTACAGTCACTGACTTGAAGACAAGCCAGAACCTCTGGACTCTTCCGGATGTAAGTCTCCTAGCTCTATTTAATATTAAAACTACCTGAATATGTGAATGTAAGAGCCATGTCAGACCTTACGCACACTGTGAGTATGGGGCAGGCTTCGTAATTTTCGATTACATCGACGGATCTAAGGAAGTCTGGCGACGTGTCGATGACTTTCGTGATGAAGAACCTCCTGTAATCCGTGAATCACTGCCTACGCAGCGTCAATGGCGCGTTTCTGCGACTGCAGAACGAAAGTATGCGACAGCATCCACCAAACGTGGTCATTTTCGACCGTGGGCGTCTCTGCATCCACCACAGATTACGCGTGCCTTCCGATTTTCCTATCCGATTCTTGGTGCAGCGGCCTGGGATGCTGTCTACCTATGGGATGTTCGCACTGGAGTCCTCGTTCAGACGATCGAAACTATTCAACTAGGCCCTGCAGATGACGAGGACGATCACAATCTCGTGTTTCTTGGAGACATCAACTATATTGAAGTCTCAGAGAAATACGTCTTCCTGTGCGGTATTCATTCCTTGCGAGTCTTTTCTCGGGAAACAGGAAAATCAGTCTTGGACTTCTCTGCATCCAGAATCCCAATTGCTGCCTCGCATTTTTCTATCTCACCGGATAGGCCTGTCGTAGAAGTTGAAGGCGCCAGTTTAGTCCTCCAGAATCTGAACCGGGCAGTATTACCCTCTGAACATCCTTACATCATCGTGGATGAGTTTATCGCCGGTCAGTTGCCCATCAGCTATAATTACTTCGACGCGAACTAGACTCCTTTGCAGTTCACATTTCCAGCTGTGGCGCTCACTTAGCCGCCTTAATGCTTAGCTCAAAACTCATCATTGTCCAAGACTTCGAGAAAGCTATTCAAAAGGACAGAGTCCCAGTCGATGAGCTTTCAGTCGAGGTCCAACTTGGTTCTCCTTGCCATTCCTCACGATACCTAGCATATGAAAATGGACGGATTGGCGTTGCCACAGTGCGTCTGCCTTTTATCATACCCAAATTAAATGAGTGATTCAGCTTCTGGGCATAAAGAAAACTGGTATGTATGTAGTCACGCCCAATTGGTCGGAACCTCGAGGCCTGTCAGTCTTCCGGATTCCAGCATTAGCGAATCCCGCGTGTCTGAGCGCGATCTCTTGCCTTCAAATGACTGATACGGGAATGTTTTTCAACTGGGATCCTCAACATATCCTATTCGACGAGGCCACCGAGGACGCATTTTACGCCTCCGTTTCGGACCAGCCTCGTTTTGCAAGTATGTACTTAACAAACCTAACAGGCATCTAGCAGACCTTTAATATCTTTTCTAGGTCTCGCTAATGAAGTAAATGTTATTCTTGTCGATCTTGATGGTGCGTTGACTGTGTCGTTGTAGATTGACGATTTTTTGACGATTTTTCGTTCTAGAACCACAGGATGAGCCCGAGTCGTCGAACGTTGTCAGCGTAGATTTCATGCTGGAACCTGAATCAGCCGACATAAATTAAACTATTTAAATATGCTATCCTAGGGCATGCATGCAAGCCTATTGTAGACGGTCAAAATACGAGGCCGCTGCGACGGAACTATGACCCAGCAATCGTCGATCAACGCCCAAATGGCATGCGGGATATTTTGAGGCATAGGTGGACGAATGGCCCTGACGGTTTGTATCCATCCCATGGGCATGAGGAAATAGGGAACGTGGCCACTATAAACCTAGAAGCAGATTTTTTTTGACATTCCAATGGGTACTTGGACTCTTACCTCGATGGCTAGCATAGCAAACGAAAATACGTCACTTTCGGACGTTGGCCTGGAGTCTATTAAATTGAATTCGGTGGGAACCAATCTCTCGGGTCCCATCCACAGCGGTGAGCCGGGAAAACACGACATGAGAGATGATAGGCTGGAAGCCGCCGATAGCGACCTTCCTACCTGCCTCAGCGCATCTGTGTACATGGACCTGTAGTATTCCTCCTCGAGTTCAAGTGCTGGTTTATCCACATCTTGCTGTATCACAGAAATGCCGAAATCGGATACGCGTGCCCGGCCTGAGTTGTCAATGAGAATATTGGCCTGTGCTTGAGATGAGCTCGGCAAAGATATACCACGATGCATGAAATGGTGGTGCATTTTGAGGACGGCTTACCCCCTTTAAATCGCCATGCATGAAACGAAGACCGTCTGCGACCTGTGCGAGCTACGTAGGAGACACATGAGGCTGGTATTAGGCATTGCTTGAAATAGCATAGTTGAACAAGAGATCGTACCAATTCCTTTGGCAATACTGTCTTGGCCTTGGTGAAACCCATGATATACGAGTGCGGAGCTTCCCTTTTTAGGGACCATGTTGGTCTTGGTAGGAAGGGCAATAACGAACGAAGTCGGTGAGATGAGCATCTTGGAACATAGTTTGATTAAATAATTATAGTATTATAGGACCTTGGTTTTATTCTCGAAATGTTGTGCAGCCTATTGGAGCCGTCAGCAAGCCTATTTAAATGCGACCCAAAAGAATAGAGGTGCGGGTGCTGTGTCTTACCTCGACCAACTTATGCATCGCGTCTACGCAAAGCTGACGAAGTTGGTTCGCACCAAGCACTCGAAGCTTATTTACCAAAAAGGAACAAAATTTCTGCAGATGAAGAAACACGTCGTTGAACCATTCAACTAATCTACAGAATTATTTAGTCTGTGTCTGTTCGCTGCTATTGAAATGACTCATAATTACTGTTGATTGTTGATTCTCCGAGTCTGATCTGGTGGTAGTAGGACCTTTCGGACGGTTTCATGATGCTCTATCCAAAACAAGTCGTCCTTTCCATTTCTATTCGCTAGAAGTTGATATATTTGTGGAAGCCTCCGAGATAACTGCCTGGATATTGATAGGTGAGAATGGGCAGAGTACACTGAGAGAAGGGTGTGCACTTTTGTGTAGGGTCCAAGTCACTCCAGGCGACATCTGAGGGAATTGAGGAGCATGTCACAGTAATGCTTCTGACAAGGTTCTGTAAACGTTAACCATGCCGTTGGTAAGCAATGACTGGCATATAAGTAACTATATATATAAAGATTACTGGCCCTTCCATATGGGATGGTTGAGGCAATGTCCATTCGTTCGAGAAACTCTTGCATATCTGAGCCCTTCATTGTGATCGTTGGTTATCACGGATGAGATGATTGACAGCAATGGCCGAGTCATGATGCATGTGCATGATGTATTAGGATCATTAGAAGTTACATCTTGGAACCATCACCCAGTTAACGCCGCGCGTGATTGACTGATATTCGTTGATAGTATTCAATAGTATACATACCGAAATCGAAAGTGGGATAGCGGAGCGTTAAACAAGGATGTACCGCGGCCAGTTGGGAGGAACTTGGGCATGATATGTTACCGACCATACTCGTTCAGTATCCCTAATACGAAAATATAAGTTACCACATGCATCATGAAGGCATAGTTACCGACCTGGTGTCCTACCGGTGCCTTCGAGTATTACTGCTGGACCAGCCACGCGCATGATCTCGCGAGTCCCACCGGCGCTCCCTTCCTCGATGAGCCTCCTCTACCTCCCTACGATTGAAGACATCACCATAACCCTCGTCCATGCCTCCATGGATGGTACTTGGGGTTTCACTACCCGCGAGCTCTCGTTTTTTCCGTCGAATAAGCTCCAAGGCGCGCTCACGCTCTGTCGACTCGCGAGTCAATCGTGCATGGACTTCTGGAGGGGCTCTGGTG